TTTGCTAATTTACAATCAGAAATGAGCGAATTCTGAAAAGTAGAGACTAGTAACTACTACACATTAGAGGTCGACTTTCTTTTTCCCAGTTCAAAATCGACTAATGACCAATCCGCTATAATGTATGCATGAATGAATATTCATAGAAAGACACCTTCGTCTTTTTGCATAAACTTAATTAGAGCCTATTTAAAACGTGGTGGTCAGCCTAAAGAGAAAATAGAGTAGTGGTATGATAGGCCGCCAACGAACAAGCAGTAATGTGTGTAATTTGATCCTGGAAATAACTGTTCAGTCTGTCAAAAAACACACGTTGGTCCTGAGATGATTAGAACGCAGCTCTGTCATCTCTGTTTGGGTGTTAGATCTGAGATAGGCAGCCATACGAGGGGACTTAATTAGGTTTAAACACAAGCTCAGATTAGTGATGTGAACAAAGGGGTGATAACCAACTATCGCCCAATAAATAAAACCACAAGCATGAAATCCAGCGATTAATGTCTGACCAATGACACCACACGGATGTTTAGCTTCCGCCGAATGAAGCCGTGTTAGACCGTACCAAACCGGCAGTAATCTAGCGTGGTTACAGAAACCTCGTCTGACCCTGATCCTTCATGCATCTCTGGCATTACTCCACCGTTACCGCTCAAGTGGGTTTTAAAAAAAAAAAGCATACAAATGAGTGATGAAAGACAGAAAAGGCAGAAAACGTGGGGATAAAAAATGGGATCAAGGAGCCTGACTGAATGAGGACGCGGCCCCTCTCGGCCTCTGGGCTGGATTTGCGTGCCCTATCCCTCCCATTTCCATCTCCTCCGATCCTTCTCCATCCCCTTTTTTTTAAAAGCGAACGTTCTGGATGGAAACTGAGTCAAGTGATGAGGGACCGGGGAGAATTGGGTTTCATCAGGCTTGGCATATGTGTGTCAGCGTGCGCCAGCGGATGTGTGCGAGAGACCAAGTGTGTGAGAGAGAGAAAGGAGGCGGGATCGCACATAAATTACAAATCAAAGCCAAAAAAAAAATGTCACTAGAAAAAAGAAAAAAGAATCTACTCGCAAAAACGGCGTACGTGGGAAAATCGTGGCTGGTTCGGCACGTGAAATGATTCATAAAACGCACTAAATTCCAGTAATTTCAGCAGAGGTGCCCGATTCTCGCGTGGTGTGGGTGCCGATGAGGAGTTGGAAGGATGAGGAGGAGGAGGAGGATGGAGAGCAGTGTAAGTGAGTCATAGTATTAACTCCCAGGCCTTCTGCATAATCATTCCAGCTCATGCTTCATCACGGCGAGCTGAATCACCAGACAGGCACGTGGCCACGGATGCCGGAGCCAAAAAAACGTCTCTGCCTGAATTTACTTCGATTATCTTCCGTGTTTGTCTCTCCTTGCGCCTGAGAGACGCCTTAGTCTTTTTTATTTTTTTTTGTCCGATCGCCGCAGCTTTGACCCTTTGACTCTGATGCTTGGGATACGTTCAGACTGACTCCATTCATGTAGGCTGACTCATCTGGCTGTAGGTGGAGGATGTATACGAGATATGCTTCATTCAAGTTTGAGAAGTGGAATGAAATTGACTTTGGTTTCCAGGTACAATGCTTTGAATGAAAAGAACTGTGTTGCATTCAGTGACTGTGCTGCTCTGCTCATGAAAGCATGTTGATGAATATTTGCGAGAGACTGAGCTGAATAATAACTGAGGTTTTGGCATCGGCAAAAACTTTTGAATTGAAGCCACTTGTTTTCTCTGTTAGGCCTTTTGATGTGACGTTGTGATGCTTGGACTGGGATTGTAAATAAATGCTTCACTCGAGACAGCGATGTGGGGAAATGCAGTCGTCCCGCCAGCAATTTAAAAGGCAAGTTGTCTTTAAAAAAAAAAAGCCAAAATCACACCATTAATTTATTAAAAATCCAAAAAATCTGCGAATAATCAAATTTCCGACAGTCCTTGAACTACACCTCTGTGACCTGCCATTCCAAAATTGACCAAATCAAACCTTAAAATCCTGATATTTAATCAATATTACTTTATTCCGCATGTCTTATTTAAAATTTTGACAAAAACATTTTGCTCTAACAAGATTCTGTAAAAGGCTGCAAGGTTTGCATCCCGGTGGAGTTTGCATGTTCTCCCCGTGCAGCGTGGGTTCTCTCCGGGTTCTCCGGCTTCCTCGAACACAGTCCAAAAACATGTTGAGGTTCATTGGTGATTCTAAATTGTCCGTAGGTGTGAATGTGAGTGTGCTTGGTTGTCTGTCTCTAAGTGTAGCCCTGTGATAGACTGGTGACCTGTCCAGGGTGTCCCCTACCTTCACCTTAAATCAGCTGGGATAGACTCCAGCCCCCCACGACCCTAGTGAGGACTAAGCGGCGTATAGATAATGGATGGATGGATGTTTGGACCAGGATCGTAAATAAATGCTTCACTGTGCCAGCAATTTGAAAGGCAAACTGTCTATTATCGTGTCAGAAACTGTAATAAAAAAACGAAAAAACCTGCAAATTATCAAATTTCCGACAGTCCTTGAACTGCACCTCTGTGACCTGCCATTCGAAACTTGACCAAATCTAACCTCAAAATCCTGATATCTAGTCAAAATGACTTTATTCTGCATTTCTTATGTAAAACTTTGACAAAAACAATTTGCTCTAACAAGCTTCTGTAAAAACAACAACCGGTGAAGCCGTGAGTAACTCAGCGGTGACCAACGCTCATGACTGATGATTTATCATTATGACAGGATTTACGCAATTCTGACATTGTTTTGCTGCAGAAATAAGGACATTTATGAGTTTCTTCTACTTCTACAAATGGTTGTGGTGCTACCAGAGAACTCCTCGAGGTTCAGATGATGAGGGAAAAGTGAGAAAATCTGCTTTTGCATGACAAAGATTGTAAAAACTTCCAGTCATAAGTTGTTCTTCTAACATTCAAATTGTGTGTGAAACAAGAACTATTTCTCTTTTCTGTCATTTAAACAACCCTTCTTCAAAACATAATCCAACTCCTTCAATAAAACCACTTTAAAGAAAAAATAATAATAATTCAGTCTGTCTTCCATTAACATTCATAATCAGACAACTTTGTATTCTAACACATGCACATATTTGCACTTCCTGCATCGCCACCCATAGATTCACACACTCTATTGATCCCACGGAGGGCGATTCATTTGCAGCTTACCCGGTCCATGCGCGTAAAATTCAAGGAAGGCAGTTACATGTGAGAGGCAGCGGATCAATACATGTGAGCCAGCACGAGCAGCAGAGAAACACTTGTCGTAGTTTATATGAATAATAAGCAAATAAATGTGTGAGTTTAAAAGGATATAACAATCGTTGTGTCGGGGTTTAACAGCCTGATAGCAGTTTATCCTCCCACAGGGTGGATTATAATCATATTTACTGTACATACATGACCACGGAAGATGTGCAATGCCAATTATTTTGACAGATCTGAAATAGGATTCTTTTCATTTCTTTTCTCCTGAAACAAATAGCATAAATACAATGACTTTCGCTGGCATGTATGCTCCTGTATGTCTGGAAAATCACGATTTGTAGAGCCACAACGCTTCATTTATAATGGCGTGTCGTGACACATTTTACTTTTATCAAATAACTGCGGCTCCTGTGATTTGGATGCCACACTTGATTTTGGTAATATTTCAATTAGCTGTGTTGTCCCAGGGGCTGCACGTTGGCTCGGTGGTAAGCACCGTTGCCTCGCAGCAAGAAGGTCGCTGGTTCACGTCCCGGTGAGGACACTCGGGATCTTTCTGTGTGGAGTTTGCATGTTCTCCCCGTGCAGCCTGGGTTCTCTCCGGCTTCCTCCCACAAGTCCAAAACCATGTTGAGGTTAATTGGTGTTTGTATAGTGTTTGCCCGCTGTCATTTCAGTGATTTTGTATCTGTAATTTGCACGGTGTCCCAGTGGCTAGCACTGTTGCCTCACAACTACAAGATCCCTGGTTCCTGTCCCAGTTAGGACGATCTTTCAGTGTGGCAGTTCTCCCCATGCAACCTGGGTTCGCTCCGGGTTCCTACCAGAAATATAGGTGTGAATGTGAGTGTGCTTGGTTGTCTGTCTCTATCTGTAGTCCACTGCCTTCGCCCTAAGTCAGCTGGGATAGACTCCAGTCCCCCATAACCCTAGTGAGGATTAGGGTGTATAGATGATGGATGGATGTCTTGTCCAAACGTAAAATGAGTGTTTTTTTTTACTTTAACGATTCCCATTTTTAACCAAAAAACCCCCACAAAGGTCATCATTCCTTACTTGGTTGTTTGTGTTCTTACTGCATGTCTTTGTAACTCCAACACTGACTTAAAATCCGATCAAAACCCAACCGTGACAATCGTGCATATAGGGGAGGTTCTCTAAACACCACTGTGTTAAGTCTTGTTCCAAAACCTTTGAATGCGCCTGGAGCCGTTTGTGATCCGAGCGCTCTTAGCGTGAAATGAGAATTAGATGCCGACACCCCGCTGACTACAGTTTTCTGCAACAATTCGGGGGTCGCGAGTCCCCTCATCGGAAACAAATCTCCACAAATCCTTCCAGGAACAATCTGTGGCAGAGATCTCCCGCTGACTTGAGGGCTCTCCTGGATTTGTTAAACAAACAAAACCTCTGATAGCGATCTTTCCGTGCGCGCCGACGACGATTTGCAATTCAAATGATCTCGATCGGTGGACACCACGGGGAGAATGCGGCGGTTTCTCCGATGACAACAAAGGGAAAGCCCTCGCATCACGCTGCCTTATCCGCGGCTCGATTCGTGCCAGCCTTCGCCGATGGAAGCCTTATCTCTGCTGGCCTTCTGTCCGCTTAAAGGGACAGGGACCACTGCATGCAGGTCTTTCGGCAGGGGGGTGGGGGGCCTTCCAGCACTGTACAGCTGTGTAAGCCACGATGTTGATTTGGAGGCACTTAACAGTCAGTACTGGCTTTGGAAGTCACGGTTGGATTGCAGCACAGAAATGAAAGTTACCTGGAATTCAATGCCGTAGTTCTCCCTGCAGAAGTCTCGTAGTTTGGGGTAGACGTGCTCTTTCAGTGCGTTCCTCTCCGCCTCTGTGTCTGGAAACATAAGACAAAGCAAATGTTCAAGCATTCTGCAAACACTAATAAAACTTTAAATAGCCACTTGTATCGGAGCAGGAGAAATCTGCATGGCATCCTCAATGAAAGATTAAAACCTACTGTTTTGGTGAGAGATGTTAAATTTTATAGCAGTTACGTAGCTAGTAGGAATTAAGTGTTGATGCAGAGCTGAGAGTCGAACATTAGCTTAGCTTAGCATTAAGAAGGGGAGGAGTTAAAAATTCTGCCCACTTCCTATAGCCTGACAAATATGGGCTTTTCGATACGATAATTTGCATTTAAAATATTAGCTAAGCATTAATTTTCTGTTTTTTTGGTCCATGTTGCGTCCAATTAAATGACTGTGAAGGACTTTTTAAGTGGGAAAAATGAACCACTCTTAGAATGGTGACACCTTTTCAAAACATGTCTTTGACCTTTTCGGTCTTCAAATTTTATCATTTATCAGCCGACCTATGTGCAGATAAGCGTATGTCAGCAATTACCTAACAGCTAGATCGATCCTATAGCGCCCCACAGGGAAGCTTGTCTTCACATTTAGGATTTAGATCGACAACAAATGTGATCAACTTGGGGTTTGTCAAGCAATAAAATATAGGAGAAAGACAGTAGGTTTAAGTTTAACACAACAGCTACGATCAAATGGGTGATTTTGTTCGATAAAAGTAGACATAAAATCTGACAATAAATGCTTCACACACAGTCTTAAAACGCAGTGAAATCAGATGGCAGAAGGGATTAATTCAGTTTACACTTCCTAAACCTTCCACCTGATCATTTAGAATATTCTCTGCCTCCCGGATAAACCACAGGTTTTTCATTTTCAGTTTGAGACGATCTTTTAAATAAGACGTGCGAGCTTCGACTTCACCTGTTGAACTCTTATTGCCGTCTGAAGCTTTTCACACCGGCACTTCTGTGTGCAAACAGAAATGCAACAACAATAATTTGTGGTCCTAGGTGGTGGTATGTGTTTTTTTTTATATTTTTTTCTTTATGCTAAGCTAGGCTAATTGCTAACCACGCACCACAGCTTTGACCTTCGCATTCATTGAAAGGCAGCTATGTCTTTTCTGAAAACAGATCTCCTCCACGCCGACAAAAACAGAAGAGAAAAGCTATTCATCGGTGTAGATTCTGAGTCATCGGGGTCGCGGTAATCCAAAGAGCTTGGGTAAAAAAGGAACTGGACTTTTTAGTTCTTCAAGATATTTCACCTCCCATCCAAGAGGCTTCTTCAGTTCCAAAGAAGCCTCCTGGATTGGAGGTGAAATGTCTCAAGGATTTAAAAAAGAGAAGTCCAGTTGCTTTTTACTGAAGCTCTTAGGAATAGAGATACAAAATAAAGCAAAAAAAATCAGACTTTTAAATGGAAAATTTTCTCAAAACTGTTTCTGCATTCAGGCTGTAGAGTTTAATACCCTGAAGCCCCAAGCAGGTCCTGGGCTTTTATTTTTCATTTCTCCCTGAAATTTAAAGTCCTGCACCTCCACAGAAACTTGTATTTTGTGCTGTATAAAAAAAATATTATAATGCCATAAATCATAATAAAGAAAATATTAAACTTGCAATCTTCTTGGATAATTTATTTTATAGAAATTTGAAAAAATTAATAAAATTAATATGTAAAACTATTTTCCAAGTACCTACAGGTGTTATATTAAATAATATATAATAAATAAATAATATAATAAATAAATAAATGTGACTCTCCGACTATTTACTATTTAATTTCTGATTGGTTTCCATCCTTGTCTCCTATTTACAGCTCGAAAAGTTTCTGATTTGTAGTCATGTGACTTTTTTTTGCCACAGCTGAGCACAAAGTTTTGGTTTTTTTTGTTATTTTTTTTACGGAATCTGATTAGCATAGCATAGCAATAGCATTTTGGGGGTAAAATATTAGATTAAACATGTAGAATTAAGTGATTTTGATTAAATATCACAATTCTAAGCTTAGACTCCTGCTGAAAAGTAGAAAATCCACTAATTATTTCTGTTTCAGTGTCTGGCTCTGATGCATCGTGTCATTTTGGAAATTATATTTTTTTATCTATTTGGTTATTTTTCTTTTTCAAACTGCATTCCTTTCAAATCTCTGAGTGGATGTTTGAGATCCAGGGCTACATTTATTTATGTTTTCCAGAGCAACAGCGGGATTTCTCAAATTCCTGAACGCACCAAAACACAGGAAGCCCATCATCACTCTGTTCTTCTAAATCCCAAATGACATGTCGGCAACGTCTCACATTCATTTGATTATTAGTTTAATTTAACTATTTTCCCAACACACCAAACAGCCACTTCATCTGTAAAATGTAAGAACGGAGTAAAATGTTCAAGGTGAAATGTTTAAATTCCTTCTGTTTGACCAAAAATCCTAAATATTCAAGAATAAATGCATCTGTTTACCCAACTAGTCACTCACTAAACCTGTAATAGCATTTAAAACTATATCAGTATTAGTGTGTGGGTGTCATTTTTTAACATGCACCTCTTCCTACACCTATAACAATGTGATTACCTAGAAGAGCCACACACACACACACACACACACACACTGTTGAAGAATGTGGGATTATCCAGCATCACAAAGGCAGTGATCATATTGGACAGTTGGAGTGTCACAGAGTGAGTGCCCACGGCTTGTTGTTGTGTCCCACTTTCTTCCCTCCTCTCGTTTTTCGCCGTCTTCCAAATGGTTACTGTAATGTACTCCGACAGGCCCGGTCTCCTTCCTCCCTCTCTCTCTCTCTCCCTTTCTGAAGGGTGTGGACGGGGCAGTTAAAAACAGAATATGCCCGACAGAGAGGCCCTCGTGCGACCGACTTATACACGTCGCGGCGGACGGCGCGCCAACAGCCCCTCAGCCGCTAACCGTGTCGTACGCAGCGTGAGCGGAGGGGGGCCCTGCAAATTTAGTCTGACGTAGCGATCTGTCGTCTATCTTTAGTAAGGCTTTGGGCCGTGACCGTGCGTGTATCCGCCCACAGCTTCTCCAGCACAAAAAAATAAATAACGGAAATTAAATGAACGGCAGCTGATGGATTAAATGTTGCAGTGACACAGGGGGCAACGCAACTGCAAAAACATTTACAGAACATTTAGATTCTCTGTGTGTTTTTTGGGAAGTACTAAAAGCCAGGAAAGAAGCCCAATCCGGAGCTGCATCTTGCTCCACTCTGTCTGGATGTGACCTGACAGACTACACTGTGTTGTTTGTATTGTGCTGATAACAGCGAGATGCCTCTCGCCCCTCTTTCTCTCTCTCTCTTTTTTTTTTCTTTTTTTGTGCGATGATGATGAGTTATGGCAGCCTGACGTATGTGTGTCTGTTGTCTGCACACCCCCGTGCAAAAGGAACAAAGAGCGGATCCTACATTCGCCTGCTTTCTCGATGTGTGCGCGTCCCTCCCTCCAATTTTCCAATCTGTTTATTTCAATAGTGCGGACCAATCTATCTTCCCTTTCAGATATGTTCTGTCAGCTCTCTTTATTTTCTTTCTCACTTCCTCTTTCTTTTTTTTCTCCCTCATCCTTTCGGGGGAACTAATGGGCAGTCAATTCAGCAGAGAGATGCTGCCAAATGTCTCTGATGCTTTCTTTCTCTTTAGTCTTTCCTCGCTATTTTTAGACTAAAATGTAAAAAAAAAAAAAAAAAAAAGTCCATCAGGAGTTCCTAGAGTCCAACATGACGCCTTCAGGAAGCTTGTTTAAACGACAGTCTTGTTTCGTATCATTTTAAAATGATAGAGAAACTTTTGAGAAGCTGTGTCGCGAATGTGCATCAAAAAAAAAGTAAAATCAAAAGCATCACATCAGAATAATGTGACTTATTTACCCTGTAAAGCCTGAACCATGACATAATTGTGAGAAAATTCAATAAAAAAAAAAAAAACTAGAGCGTTTATTGAACCTTCTGACAAATTAAAAAAAAAATTAAATCGCAATTTTCATATGAGCTTTCATTTGTATCACTTTCTTCTACATTGTTGGCTCATGGATCACTGATCTATGGTGGATTATCCGTTGACTGAATGTGCCTGATTGTATACATCAGGGGAAAAAATGTCACACTGATGATGTGAAGTAATCAGATATGATACACTTGGTGCTAATATGCAGCTCGTCTGACCAAATTCTCAGTGCCGATGTTACTTTCATAAGGACGAAAGCACTACATCAGTAATTTTCAAGGATGAATCTGTTATTTTTGGCGGGAACAACCCACTACCTGGCTGCAGGGTGGATCGGTAGTTCGCACCGTTGCCTCGCAGCAAGAAGGTCACCCGGGATCTTTCTGCGTGGAGTTTGCATGTTCTCCCCGTGCAGCGTGTTCTCCGGCTTCCTCCCAAAAGCATGTTGAGGTTAATTGGTGATTCTAAATTGTCCGTAGACGTGAATGTGAGTGTGCTTGGTTGTCTGTCTCTAAGTGTGGCCTTGTGATAGACTGGTGACCTGTCCAGGGTGTCCCCTGCCTTC